TTGATTAAAACGTTAATCAAACAAGGAAAAACGATCGTAACACACACAGACGATTAGAAACGCGATTTTTCTCGCGATTTTTTTCTCTTCGTCATGGAAAACTTGACTTTTCGCGATGTTCATACACGTCGTCTCTTTCGTTGAAGTGACGATTTCCCGTTCGCACACGTCAGAGAGAACAAAGAAACTCAACGCTCGCGATGCTTTCGCGCCTTCACCGTTTTTATGGTTTTACTCCAAATCCCGTTAGAGGATTTCAACGTTCGCCCGGCGCTGAAAAGAAACGACAAAGCGTGTCGACGACGAACGAAGGCAGGGTCGACAACCGAAGGTTTCGATATCTCGAATTCTGTGAGAGGGCGAGGTGCGGCGGCGACGGCGGCGGCACATCCGCGCGATCAAGTGGATCGATCGAAAAAGGCAACGCGATATTTTCCTTCCGCGAAACGCCGCGACGCGAACAATGCCGCGGCACCAATGAACGATAAAAGAAGAAGAACGAAAAGTGTATCGAACAAACTATCGATTGTATCGTCCTCTCTCTCTCTCTCTCTCTTTTCTTTATCTGTTTTTTTTTCTTCTATCGCTCACCGAGATTTTATCTGCAAATTACAGCGATTCAAATTATATAACGTTATCGTAATAGTTCAACGATTTCATTTATTATGCAGTATCTTTGCTGACATCGCAATTAAACGCTCGTCAACGTCGTCACGGACGACTATCTCTCTGCAGGGGGGGAGGGAGCGGGAGGAGACAAAAGAAATTAATTTAACAGCGGGAGAAATAAACAGATCGAAAAAGAGAGAGATACAACGCGAGCGTGCAAGATGATGAAAGTCGAATTAAAAAACCGCGTCTAGATCCGAGAGATTTCTCGACAAAAAGACGCGATATAATTGAAAAAAATTGGAACATTTTCGCGTGAGTGAAAACAAAAACTGCACGCAGATAACGGAGAGATTGCGAGAGAAAACGGAAAATATATATCGCGGCGAGATACGCGGAAAGGCGGAGGTGCGGGAGAGGAAGAAGAGAAATGCACAAGTGAGTATATTCGCCGGGATGCGCGCGGAGGATGCCACTTGAATAGGAACCGGAACTCCGCGATCCGTGCTCGGAATCGACTACACGATAGCTACGCGTACGAGTCGCGCATATGAATCAGATGAAAGACAGCCGGGAGGGTTTTCTACCGCGGAGCGGAGCCAAACAGCGAGAACGAGAGAGGGAATTAGAAAAGAGACGAGTGAGAGAGAGAGAGATCGTTGGGGGAAGGAGGAAGAGGAGGTTATCGCGGCTCGTCATTGATTTCTTCGACGTTACGAAAATAAATCTGACCACACGCGTACGGGGGAAGAATGCATCGCGAACGAGACGGACAGGACGAGCGATCGCGAAACCGCAGGAACGAAGAAGTGAAAACCGCGCGACATACACACACACGCACACACACATAACGAGAGACTGAAACAGCTCTTGCGGTTTCGCGAAAAGTGGGACGATACGCGACTATCGCGGAATCGCGAAATTGACAAATATATGTTCTTCTCCGATCGAGAGAGAGAAAGAGAGAGAGACCTGCACGGATGTGCTTCAACATGCGAATGTCGTCTTCGTCGTCGGAATAAATTGCGCGGAAGCAACGACCGCTTCCCGAACGACGGTTGCTACATAGCAGCAAAAAAAAAAAATCAATATTTATAAATCGTGCAATGAAAAAAATAAATGAATTGTATATATATATATATATATATATATATATATATATATAAATCCGTGCGTTACATGAATCGTCGTGTACTTACAATCTCTAAATTTGAGCGCAAGAAAATAAATCAAGAGAAACACAGGATAGGTTTCGGGTGTGGTTGTAATCAAAACAAACCTCTCGGCTTACCGACAGCTTTATCTCTCTCTCTCTCTGTTTACTTTATTTATTATCGGCTCTCTTGTTCCGACTTTTCCGCTACAAGCGTCTCGCTTCGATTCAATTCGAATTTACAAAATTAGAAATTTTACAAATTTCTCTGTCTATTTACATTATTTTCCATCTAATCTCTCGCTCTCGAATTTCGGTGACGAAATGACCTCGAATGCACACACACACACACACACACACATATACACAGTAGTGTTTTCGTATTTTTATAAGTTGCAAGTTTTTGCACCGAGTCAACGCGCGTACACACTTTCCTGCTCTTCTTCAGTTTGTATCATTCGTGCGATATATCATACAGGATATTTGTTTAAAGGGATACGCGTTTTTCTCGCAAAAAAAGAGAGTAAAAAAGAAAAAAAAACGGAAATGTGCTCCAAACCGGGCGCACAACGCGACAGGTTCGTAATTCTCTTTGACCCTGCTAACCTTGAATCAGGCACGACGACGCGTCACATAAATGCCATCGCGTAAATACAAAAAGGGGGAATGTCCATAAACAAGGGGCGACGATAAACGTCTTCCACGCGCGATAAAACCGGAATTTTTGTTACCCTTTAACGAAGAAGAAGCGAGCCGACGCGAAATTTCCGAGTTTTCACTTCGATTCTGCTTATCTTTTGCTATCACGATATATTTTCGTGTTGAGACTCCGTTCTGTTAACGGAGAATCGAAGAATAACGGATTCGCGAGACACAATTTTGTCGCGATCGTTCGAACAATATCTCGCGAACGCGAGAGAAACGCGTTGCTGCATTTCGAGAAAATTCCAACCGGAAAGTGACGAAAAAGAAGCGAAGGTTCACCGAAAGCGGCACTAGGTGACGCGTGTACGGAAATTTATGCGTAAAATTCGCGACATCGGCTGCGACGACGAAACAAATTTTCGAGGGAGTGTAACTCTTTTGAAAAAAAAAAAAAAAAAATTGATATTCGCGATCGCGGAATTTAATTGCGAGATCGCCACACTCGTGAATTCCCTCCCCGCATACACATACATACACGACGCACACACGTGCCCAACGAACACTCCGGCTTCGTTATGGCAGAGGAGAGCCGGCTTCTTCTTGGCCGGTTTTGGACGCCTCGCGTTTCCGGAGCGTCGTGCTCTCGAAGTAGCGGAAATCGGGACGCGAGAACGGTAGCGTTCGCGTCCGCGACGTTATTACGTTTTCTAGCACTCACCGTAAGCAGCAAATTATCCTCGTCAGATCCACAGGAATCACAGGCCGTTCCTCGAGGATCACTCGCAACTCCAACCAAGACACTTCACTCGTCAGAGACGCCAGTCACTATAGGTTCGACTTGGCCGCTCAACTGCGCTTGTGCGACGCCGGCTGTGCGCGAGACCGTCGCGCCGCAGCACTGGCGCCATCCGGCGGTGATTAGCGCGAACTATCGGCGCGAATACGCGAGAACGCGCGGAAACTCGCGAATTCGAAAAAAAATAACGGCACTCTTCGCTCGCACTACACACCTCTTCTCATCACATATTTTCCACGTTCTCATCGACACTCGTATATGCTGAGCGTGAAGTTTGATAAAAAAAAACAATTTCACTTTTTGTCGGTCGTGTTTTGTTCACTCGTCGCAAAAACGAACTTCGACACTCGACTCGATTTTTATCGCTATTTTTTTACGTTCGTTCTCTCCACTCAGAATATTGAAACGAGCTCGACTCGTCGCGTAATCGTATGCATTTTATCCTGTTTCCAGGTGACGAATCGCGCGAAATCGTGATTCACATTTTTGGCAATCAACATGTCGGCGGCGGTTTCGCGAAACTCTCACTTTTTTCGAAACCACTCGATTCGATTCGCGTATATTTTATATTTTATTTACGGGCGCGGATTCGGGGCGGTCATCGTCCTGAATCGCGGACCGCGCACAAGGACGCGCGCGCGTTTCCGCGCAGGAAGCGCAGGAAATTCAACGTTAACGCGCGTGTTTCAACAGGCGCGGGAGAACGCGTGCAAACGATGGATTTTCGCGACGGAAACTGAACGTTGCGAACGTAATGGCAGTCGAACGATTTTGAAGTGCATATATATATATATATCGTTCGGCCAATCGCGTCGCTGCCGCAATTTGCCGACTACTTCGCGCCGCACTTTCAGGTCGCGCAACGATTCTGGATTAAATTAAATTATCTTCGCCGTATGTGGTTTAATAATAAAATAAATACACTTGGAAAATAAATGCGTAAAAAATATAGAAAATATACGTAAGATGTTTATAAAAAAAAAAAAAAGTAATGTTTTAAATCGTTATTTTTTCTACTTTCCTTCTTATATAGACATATATGTCTGAGTATTATCGGAGCGATCTGTAGCTCGATCGATCGATGCGGAATTACTAACCGAGAGATCGCGAGTTCGAATCTCTCAACCAGTATTCGAGTTTTACGCAGATCGCTTCCCCTCGATAAATCTTGCAACTTATCGAGGTGTAAATCTCGTGTAAAACTCTGTTACAATACGAGATTTTACACAACAGAAGTGTTTACGAACATTTCTCGTGGTTCGGAATCCACGTTAAATTGTAGGTCCCACACTACACGCTCGAATCCGCACGAGAGTATGTGTGTAAAAGAAAAGTAAAAAACGCGGCCCGTTCCTTAGAGACAATCTAATAAATTACAATAATATTACTATTAAAATGTCTCTAGCTCCGGGTCCTAATGATGAATTAAGGACAGTTTGATTAATATATGGCAGAAAGCGTAAACACCCCATAATATATTATATGATAACAAACACCACAACTGAAGGAACTAATTAATAATTAGTATTAATTAGTAATAATTATTTTTTAATAATTATATTTAACAAATTAATTATTTTAATAATTATTTGTAGAAATTAAAACAGAGCTTAAAGTCATCAATTCACCGGTGGCGGTGGTTTGTAAAATTAAAAATTGATATCACTTTTTAATTTTGTTTCGCGATCATTTTATTACTTCAATCATCTTTAACCGATCTATATAAATAACAATAAATAAAAAATATATTTTGTCTATATATAATTATTTATGTACATATATTTTTTTTGTCTTTTTACTATTTTCTATTTTCTCTTATATAGATTTCGAATCCGGTGATATTTTTTAAACATTATTTGAGCTCTCGCGGATCGTTCTCCCTCGATGATGAATCTTGCAACTTTTCCACGTGTTAATCTCTCTGCTGTGAGATTTTCAAAATGAAAAGTGTTTACGAGCATTTCTGACGGTTCGGAGTCCACGTAAAAGAAAAAAAACGTCAACTCTTAGTCCAACGTCTCGATATCGATGACGTGCAACGATAGAAAGTCTGATACGGAATGATTAAGAATTGCTATCTCTGAGTAGTTTTTTTTTAATACATATTTTTCGTATTAAAACATAAACGGAAGGTCTAGATTCTTTTTTCCGTGGCCGATATATAAAAATCCGTAGTGCGGAGAATTCAGTTTGTGAAAAAACGTCATTCCGTGCCAATATAAGCTGTGCAAAATAACCAGACGACCGCCCAGTAGAAACTGCAAATTCCAACATCCTGAAAATAAATACAAAATAAAGAATCAATTGACTTAACGTATTGTTATTTTAATTTTTTTTTTATTTTTTTGAAACTCTATTTGCTTCACCTTGAGGAACGTCCATGTCTATGCTGTCCAAAAAATCAAACGCGTAATTGTAATCGGGTCGGGACATCAAGTTGGTGGTCCATTTTGCTTTCGGGGGACGCGCGTGCAAATAGGACTTTAGATTCGATGCGTCCGCGGCGCGCAATCCTTCGAAACTCGGATTCTCGATCACGTCGCCGTTCGGACACTTAAACCAGGCTCCTCGCGGCACAATTACAGCGTTTTCCGTGATCGATTCCACGGTGCAAGCCAGTCGATCTTCCTCCTTCAGTTCTTTCGGCAGCGGACCCTGTCGTGTGAATTTTGCATTTGTTTACACGCTTTTCTAAGAAACAAAAATAACAATTGGGAGAAGAGTTACGTCGTAATAAATCTTGGGATCTTCGTTCGGCGGAAACGGCGGATTGACGTCGTACACGTTAGCGACGATGGACGGATCGCCTTCGAATTTGTTGATCGCCAACGGACTCAAGAATCGTCCGCATTTCGTCGCTTTCGGTAACAGCAGCCAGTTCAGACCGTCCGTGCTGTAAATAAATAAAATAAATGCAAAGGAAAAAACAGTTTTTCTCCACTTATTTGCATTCTTTTTGTTTTAAAGAAAAAAAAACAAACAAGCTCACGCAGATTTTTTTGGTAAAAATTAAATAACGTTAAGACATTAACAATGGCTGTTAATAAATTAATAAATAAAGTTACACATTACATACACATCATCAGCAGTGTTTTGCTTCAAACAGCCATTGTTAATGTCTTAACGTTATTTAATTTTTAAAACATTTGAAGCTGACTACATCTATCATTATTTATTTATTTTTTTGGTAAAATTACGAGTTTTCGTCTCTAAAGTTGAAGATTGACTTTCATATCAAATGTTCAACGTGCGGTTGAGATAAAAAAAAAAAAAAAAGAGAGCCCGTAATTTTCACATAACAAACTTGAAAGATCTCTTGCCTATAATAGTATCTCTGGCCGTTCATGCAATCTTTCTCGTAGCCGTACGCTACGTGATAGTCGTTTCGAAGACCGTTGATTCTGCCCCAGTAATAACATCTTCGAAAATGATTCTCCGTCTGCAAAATAAGTAACGAATTCTGCAGCAGCTGCGAGCTCTCAGTGCTTATGCAAATACCGGCGCAACCGAGCACGTCCAAAGTTTCCAACAGCTTCGAGCAATCCATTTTGTGTGTTCACAAACTCGAAAGTTTCCGGCTCGAAAGTTCTTCTTTCATATGTTTCCTCGGGCTATGTTTTTGCCGCGCGCGAATTTCATGTTTTATTTAACAATATTTCTCATCCTATTCAAATGTTTTTTTTTTTTTTTTTCCGATAGTTAAAGGCCTTCACCGTTTTTGTTGATCCTTGTTCGTTATTGCCATATTGATTTTAGATCGTCTCTATGTTTGTGTCTGGTTCTCAACGCGCGACACGTGAGCGAGCGGATATTGTGTGTACATTTTTTTGCAAAGCGCGCAGTCGTTCCGACGTTTGTTGACAAAGATCCGAAACTGATTTAAATCGCAATAAAAATGTCGTCGGACGAGGAAAACGACGACGTGCTGCAGGATCTGGAGGAAATACGAGACAAAATGATGAACACTCCACGCAACGAACGCATGCAAGTGAGCGCCTGGGAGGACGACGATGACGGCGTGGAAGCGGAGCGTAACGCGAAAGGTTAGGATTCTGACAAGACGAGTCCTGCTCCGAGTTTGAACTATTAATTGCGCTTGCGAAACAAAATCAAGTAACAGAAATAGCGTCTGCGATGTTAAATATCTAAGAAATATACTCTGTAGTTCGTAACAAGTAGTTTGTTAAGTTGTTGCGTTTCTCTTCCAGAACCGGATGAGAAAGCCATGCTAAGTGCCGCTGAGGAGGGAAATCTGGAAAAAGTTAAGACTTTGTTGAGCAAAAATCGTCTTCTACTGAAGTGCACTGACAAAGACGGCTACACTCCCCTTCATAGAGCTTGCTACGCCGATAATGTAAAAGTGGTAGAGGTAATTTTGGAAAGGATTCTCCTTTTGTCTTCTTGTATTCTTAAGAAAAAAAAAAAAACAAGCCAGATAACATTTTGTGAGCAAAATCGTATCCCGGTGCGTCGTCATATGAACAGCATATAATCAGTAAATCTAGACAGCATTTTGTTACGTGAATATCCAGTCACCACACACAAGAACGACTCATTCATCCTGAGTGTGTAATACACTGTCAAATTGAGAGTAAATAACTTGTTATATGTAAATAACTTTGTAATAACTTTGTAATAACTTGTAAATGTGTCAGCAATTTGTGCGTTACTTGTTGGTATATTGGATACACATATTAGATATTTAACGCGCGCAAATCTTGCACGCGAGAAATGTTATCTGAGAATTACATACAGTGATGGTATTTTGTTTCTTGCTAGTATTTGCTGGAAATGGGAGCAAGGCTGGACGCTAAGACTCAGGACGAGTGGCAACCTCTACATTCCGCGTGTTGCTGGAACAATGTGGAATGCGCCCTGACTTTGATCTCGTGCGGCGCGGACGTAAACGCCAGGAGCAAAGGGGATCAAACACCTTTGCATCTACTCTGCGCCAGTTCTCACAATTCTCCCGCTCTTCAACTCTTTCTGTTGCATCCGGACACAGATTTCTCTATACTGAACTCGAGCGGAGACACCGCGGCTATGATCGCAAGAAGAACAACGAAATTCTATCCGATATTCGAGATAACCGAGCCCTGTCTGAACGAGATTTAAAGTAAGTAATTTTCCACGTCTGTGTCCAAATGAGAGAGACACGCTAAGTAAGTATTTTACGTGTAGTATATATTTTATTTAATATACACATATTGTTACATACAAACACACATGTCACAGGAGTAACTGAGCAAAGAATTGAGAAATGAGTGCAATTTTTACGTATATCTTTGTTATATTGCAATGTGTTACTTTATATAAAAAAAAACTTTACGCTTATATAAATTAGTGACATGATTCGCATGGAAAAACACAATATGCATTTTACGATATAAAAGTATATATAAAAATATAGCAACTCGTATACATTAATTAGGAATATACAATTATTATTACGTTGGAAGAGAATCTCGAGATACAAAAAAAAAAAAAAATAATAATACTTTAAATACAATTGTTCGCTTTGTCCTCAATACATGTCATGATTACGATTGAGAGTAAAATAGATTCGCGTGTGTGTGTGTAAATAATCGTTAATTAACATTAAAACAAATCTAAAGTAACGAGCGCAGAAAAACAATCATCACAATTCATCGAACGACAATTCGTACGTGTACACAGATCAGAACGACGTTAAGTTAACAAACTTCGGGGTGCCGTGGCTAAGGCGCTTAGATCCTTCCCATATGAGAATAGTAGAATCGTCCGTAACTGCGTACAAATGATGCTGATCCAAAGACCACGCGACGGCAATTATTGCACCGCAATCTTTCACGTTACTTGTTATTTCTCGAACCAATCGTAGGTCCCAACTGCTCCATAGCCTGCGTTTCAAAGACGTTTTTGTTTTGATCATTTGTTTTTATACATGTAATGAATATTTTTTAACGTACCTTATTATTCCGTTATCTAAACCAGTTGCAATAACATTGACAGAAACACCTTCCGGCGCGTTGCTATAACAAAGAGCCGTTATACGTCTTCTAGATAAAACAGCGCCCACCGCTCTCGCATTTATGGTGTAAACTCTCAACTCGGATTGATCGGCAATCGCGTTGCTCTCCGACTTGGGAATGTCGCAATTAATTGCTATATCTCCGAGTGTCTCGCTGATGCACAAATGGTGTACGGGATAACCTTGATCGTTGACTATTGATCTCACATACGTCAAACTGTTTCAAAATATATAAATATTTAGAAAAACAGTGTAAAGAAAGAGAACTAGTTAAATAAAATTCATCATCAAACTTTATCATTTTTATATCGTTTTATTTTGTACGTTACCTGTTCAAATCCCAAATAACAATGACGCCGCTGCTGTCGCCCGAGCAGACAATGCTAAATGCTCGCGACAGAGATATCGCTGTCACGCGACTTCTATGAGCCAAAAGCACCGTCGCGGATGCCGAATTGAATTTGAATTTGCCCGTAGCCTCGATGGTGTAAGTGTGCACCGTGATTCTGCCTGACAAATGCCCGGTCCAAAGTTGTCCGCAATCGGGAGCAGATCCCAGTGTTGTGATCTAACAATTAGACGTTATGTATTTTTTATTTGTATTTTTTTTTTTTAAAGAAATAAAATAACTGTAACGATATCATATAATCTCAATATTTTCAACATCATCGATGTGTTGTACGTTTCGTTTTTAATCTTGTCTTATTTACAATATACGCGCTAAGATACTTACGGGATCAAGACCTGGCGATTTAATTAAAGGCCTTGGGGGTTGTTCCTTCTTACATTTTAATCTAACGATTCCGTCTGTTCCGCTCCATAAAGCTAACGCAGCACCCAACACAGACATACCGCTCAACATGCTGCCACCTGACAACGTAAGAGGCTTAAATTCGTATTTATATCTCCGAAGCTTCGGGACGCGATTTAATGCGCAATAATCGCGATATAAATCAACAACCTTTCTCTTTGGTGTATCCCAGTAGAAGCGCGGAATGAGCAGGTAAGCCGAAAACGTCACCGGTTGTCAGAGGAACCAGTGAAGCTAACGGGGTTCTGTGCTTCTCCTTCCAGCACTGAAAAGCGTCGTTGCCAGGCGCGCCCACGTAATTTCCCCACTTTATACCTGCGCGGTATATTTATTCAATATATTGTATTTAAATGAAAAACCCTCTCTCACGTAATATTTATATTATTTTTTATTCGCATTACCATTGATTCCCTCGATAACCTGAGGCGTTTGGTTGCGAAACGCGTCTGCGTCGAGATTGTGAACCAACGGATGAGCAGCTTTGAACAACTGTGCGGGCGTTTGGCCGTAAGTTCGCACCATGGTTTCCCAAGCCTGACGTTCCAACGGGTCGGCTATTTGCTCCACGTCGAATCCGTAATAAGTCTATAAAAAAAAAAAACGAGTGTAAATTATTAACAAATATACTTTGTTTGTTCAACGCGACGCAGCGCAAAGACAACGTACAGCAGGATGGAAAACATTTATAGCCTCTACGGCCGCTCTTCCTCTCTGTCTGAATCCGAAGACCAGGTCGATCCAATAGGGCAGTAACACTCTCGTGATATCCGATTCCAGCGCGGCTCTGTGCACCAGTATGAAGATGCGCGCGTCGCCGCCGCACCACTTCGGCAATTCGACGTCTCCGACTCTGTTGCCATTTTGTCTGAGGCCAAAATTAAAACCTGTAACAAACATCAGTTGCAACATAGTTTACACGCGCATTTGTTTCTCTTTTCGGAATCAATGTATGCATTCTAGTCTGATCTACCTTCGGAGTTCAACAAAAATTCCGGCAAATAAAAGAATTCCGGTATCAGTTCCTTCACGTCTGTTGTCGAGTCGCAACTAGTTAATCTCCATGTTGTCGCTAACGCGTGGAACGTTCGGTCAGGAATATCAAAATTATTATCTAAAAACAAAGCGCAGATTTTCTAGTGCAATAAAAATCGAGATGTCGATGAAAAATAAATTATTGTAGAAGAACAGTCTTTTCTCTATTACCTTGATAGGACAGAAACATGCTGGTGAACGGTGGAAGTCGTACCAGGAAATGTAACACGGTTCCGGAATTGCTATAATGAGACCCGTAATGGAATGGTCCTTGATTTAAGGCGATCAGATTCAATCCCTCTTTCAAGGTTTGCTTCAGGTACTACATGAAAATATTTTATTACTTAAAGAATCTCTCTGTAACAACATTTAATATTTTTTTCCGCTTTAAATTGCTTACATTGTAATTGTCTATGTAGTGCTGCTCGTTCTTTTTGTCCTGCACAGCCATCGGACGTTTGAAGTTTCTGCAAAATATACACACACACACACGTGTACATATTTATATTTTCACATAAGAATTATCCGCTCGTATGAGTTGTTCGAAATTTACCGATAAATCTTGTAGTTTTTCAGATCGATCTTTTCGCTAACGTAGTCCGCCAGAACAAACGGAAACACGGGATACTGCATCAGATCGTTGTACGAGCGACCTGCCAGTTTGTTCAAGCGAGTTATGTATTCCCAGTTAGTGAGCGCGCCGCTTCTCCACAAGGCCAGAGCCTCTCCCAAATCGTCACCGGGTACGCGCCTGGGCAAATTGCAGGCGGACAGTTCGGCCTCAAACTCGTCTCTTTCCTTGGACGAGTTAAACGCCAATAAATACGTCTTGCCGGTAATGAGAAAGATCTCGATCGCTATCTCTTTTAGTTGGTATCTCCTTTTGTACAGTTCGCGAATATCCTCAAGACGCCAGGCGGTACCACCGGCCACAGCCAAATCGAAACCACCCAGTGCTATCTGCAATTGACGATGATGATTGAAGACCATTCCGAGTTGATTTATTAGATCGCGGAATTAGATCAAGATGAGACAAGTCACTCACGTCCGTATGTAACGGCATATCTGGATTGTCCGGAACGAAATACACGCACGTCTCGCCGATGAGAACTTCGCCGGCCAATTCGGCTCTGGGTGTGACGACTTTCGCCTGAGACATTTTGCGTATTTTCTCGCTCGTGTGTAACCGTTCGATTAACGCCGCGGCGTTGGCATCTTCACGAGCACTGACAAATAAATACGACAACGGCATTTCGATGTTGAACGGTGCTGTAAGAACATAAAAGTTTTAATTTAAAAAAATTAGGAAGTGTAGCTTATGGAGAGAGATTTACTTTTCATTATATTTTTGATATAAAATGTTTGTCTCCACGAACCCAATCTATTTTGATATTCAGGCAAGAAGAATCTCTTGTCGATCTTCAAGTGACACCTTTGGAGTCTTATTCTGACTCTCCCGGGGCCTTCGGTCGGGTCCAGCTCCCAATTTTTCGGATAGCTCTCGGGAAAATGCCAGGGCGCCCGCTCGTGTGTTAATCGTTTGGCTATGTCTCTCCATCTGGCCACCGCCTGGGCCTCCAGCGCTCGTGTGTGCTTCAACTGCTCCATCAACACTTTTCGCTCTTGATTTTGTTCCTCGACAACCGAACGCGTTATAGCCATGGCGCTTTCGACCAATTGTTTCGCCAGCGTGTCGAATCTCCTGCTGATTCTGACATAAAATTACGTCGTTAATTTCCTCAATATAAAATACATAAATCAGCATCTGAGAAAGAAACACGACATGTGTTTACCTTAGAAGTTCGGGATAATTTTTTATGCTAACGTCACATTCCAAAGAGAAATCTCGACGTAACAGAGCCAACTCGTCGTTCCACGCTTCTGAGTTAGCTTGTTCCAGTCCTTTGGCGATGTTCCATATACGCAGAGCCTCTCTGAATTCCGCGCAAATTCTCGCGTCGGCACTTGGCATCTCGTCCCGTTTTTGTAACAAATCCCAGAAGAACACAGTAAATTTTTGCTCCATCTGGGGATATTGCAAATAATATACGTTTTTATCATGTAAATTTTAATGTAAAATACAAATTTTATAATAAATACAACAAATAAAAAAATGTTACAATAAAATAAATAAAATATGATAAATTTCAGTTGATTAATTAAAATGCGAAATGTACCTGCGGATGAACTTCCAAAATGCACGACAGAATTTCGCGAGCTCTCGGCTCTTCCATTACAGATCTAACGGCGTACACTCTCGTGTTGATACTCTGATGCGGTTCCAGCAACCACACCATAATCCTAGCCGTATTCTTTCTCAAAGCTGGTTTCACAGATGCGAGCCACGTGCTGCTCCAGTTGTTTTTCTTTTCCAACGGAGTGCATAAACTGTGCAAGAGAATAGAAAACAATCTTCTTGTTAAGTGCAATTCGTTGACGGACGGCGGCGTGTCGGCGGTCGTTATAAATTCGACCGCGCGTGTCACGATGTTGTAAAAACGATCGTTTAGCTCTCCTTTGCTGGGTTCACGCAGTACCGTCGATAAATTCGGTTGCAAGTTCGTGTAACTGGACGAGCGAGATCCGCGATCGCTTTGCTCGCTTGAAGTTGTAAGACCTGGAATTTTTTTTTTTTTGTTTGTGAGTAAAACACATGACCGAGAGCTTGTTTTTAAAATATAACGCGATTACCTGACGTAAAATGAGATGCCGAAGCTAAATAAGAAGCTGTGCTGCGTAAACGGAATCCCGAAGGGTTCGACATCTTAGTCGCGAGAACGTCCAACTCTCCATCAAACAACGCAACCTGAGCGTCTCGTATGACTACGCAAGTTGCGCTTGCGCAACTTTGCAGCTTCTCCGAAAGTTCCGTGTAATCGAGTATCACGTGCAGATCCAATAACGCTTGCATCTGATGACTACCCGGCAATTCGAGAAGCTTGGAAGCGATCGCCACTAACAACACGTGAATGTCACGATGAAGGGACGTTGAGCTCGCTTTGCTCGCAGCCCCGACCAGAGCCTGTGCCAAAGACTCGATCAAACCTTGTTCCAGAAGCTCCTTCAGTGCGTTTGTGTTCTAAGGTGACAAAAATTTAATTTGCTCGTGGTGCTTTTAACGTTTTGATGATCAAAGAACATTCATTTTTTGCCGTACTTTACCTTCGCAATTATTTCGTTTATAAACGACACTATTGATCTGGCCACGTTCGGATCGGAGTTTGCACTCTTCGCGACCATCGCCATTAACGGCGGCATTGCCGCCAGAGTCGGACCTCGCAGGACCAGGTTCTCCAAAGCGACAGTTAACGATTCGCTTCCGGGATACAGAGCTATTTGATTTCCCAGATGCATGAAGTACTTCTGCTTTATGAACTTGTTGACTTCTTCGTCGCTGGCACGTTGCAGATAGGCTTGTATCACCTATAGGATATCACGAGGCAGCGATGAGACATTTCGCTCTTCCTCTGTGATAAGAATTGTGCAATACGTGACGTTAGAGAATTGTTTACCTTGATCAATGCCGTGCGTACTCGGACGTCGGGGTCATTGGCCAAGACCAACAGCAGTTCGGCTCTCAAAACGTGCTTCAGCATTGATCCAACTTCACAGTCGGGCAGGACTCTCACCGCATCTCTAAGTAACAGCAGCAATCCCTCGCAGACCAAACCTTGGCAGGCTCGTTTGACATTCGCGTAAGTTGACTGTTTTCCCTGTGCGATGATCGAATCAATTTAATCATCTGAAAGAAATCGGATCTACTCTCGATTACGTACGTTACTTTGAAGAGAAGATCCGTCGCTAGCCGAAATCCCGGAATCTTCGCCGCTGACATCCTTCTCCGACGACGCAGTTTTGCGATCCTTCTTCTTGGGACTTCGAGTTTTTTGAATCTGAAAAAAAAAACGAACGTAACGTCTCTCTATTCTAATTTACTGAATAAAAATACTTTGTAACAGAAAACGCGCAAACGTCGCACCTGCTCGTTCGTTAGCGCTTTGCTCAACTTGTCACTTTCCACGACTACGCCCGACGAGTCGTCAGAGGAAATGATGATCATGTTATCGTTTGGTTTTGTCAGACTCGTTTTTCTCTCTTTGAGCGGCGGCAACATGAAGTACATGTTGTGTCGCAAATGAGTGATGTACGTGTCCGAAGCCTGATGAACGAGAACGAGGTAATCGGTGATGGCGATTAAATGTGAAAGCTCCGGCGGCGCGCCCATTAAGGCACGTATCAGCTCCACTATAGCGGTCGCGATATTCGAATCCAACATGGCATTTACTTCGTCATTTAACTCGTACATAAAGTGTTCCTACGAAAGGACAAAATTGTAACGATATGAAGTACACGTACATCGGTTTGTACAGCGTTTCTGTGAAAGTGTATTTCACTTACCTTGCACATAGTAAGGATCGTGTTCACGATACCGACCCTGTTCAATTGAGACGCGTTGAATTCGCGTTGCGAGTGTTGATCCCGAAGCAGGAACAACAGTGCTTGCAACAGCAAACTCAACGTGTCGTGTTTCGCCCAGGCTCTCCAAGTGCTAAGCGCGGCCTTGATCAACTCCGGGTCTGTGATAACAGCCTCGCAATTTTGCGAGATCGAGTGATTGCTGCTGTTGACGTCCACGACGATGGTCGGACTGTCGCACGCTGCATCCAGCATCGCCTGCAGAATATGTCTGCCCGCGTGACATCGTGAAGATTCCAGAACACGCAGAATCAACGACGTCCCGTTGTCCGCTCGGTACTGATTCAGAAGTTCTGAATCACTACGAACAAGATGCAGGACTGTGGAGAGAGCCAGAGCTTGCTCTTCCTCAGTAGAATTCAATTCGACCACCTAAATATTTATAAAAGTTTTAGCACGTGTTTTAATTATATTTTAAATAATATTTAAATTTATATAAATTATACATAAATATTATTATTATACAAGTTAAAATTTTATTTAAAATTATTATTTATATATTTCATTATATTACACAGAATAGTTAGCAAAAAAGTTTGAAACATAAAAATAAATAAAACACAAAACAATCATAAAAAATTAAAAAACTAAACTTACTCTGGCGAAAAGATACAAAAATACCGGCACACCGCCCGTCAAAATCGCGGACGGTATAAGTCCGCGGTATTGCTGACTGCCTAATCGAGCAGACACAATCGAGGGTATCGACAGAGGTGGTTGCTGCGACACCCTGTGCTCCGGTACTGAGACGACTCTAAAACCTGATTGGCCCGGAAAGATATTTCTTATAACAGCTGCAAAAATATTTCACGAGATGTACGATCAACATATAATCAAAAGTCCAGTAAAAATGTTAATACAGTTGACACATCGCTCACCAGCGGAGTTGGCCATAGCTTGGGGATATAAGTGCACGATGTTAGGATTTTGCGCTTCGTAACTCAGAAGCAAATTATCTTGCAACTCGCTGAGATGCGAGTTCGTCGCGTACATGACGGCGTCCCAGTCGATTTGCGACTCCGACATCACAGTTTCGACGGGACGTCTCAAATAAGTGCCGCCGTAAGATTTTCGCCGGTTTGCATCGAATTTGCCGCTTTCTACAGAGCGTGAAAGTTACGATTAAATTATCAAAGTTCATGGAAACATCAATTATTTAATGAAAAAAAAATTATCTATATTAAATCATCTATGTGGATAACATTGCTGACCATATTTTACTTCACGAACACCATTCAGTGCGCCAGATGTAATGAGAGGCGCGAAATCTGGTCTCACTATATCCAAAACACAATCCGCCAAGTTGGTGTAATTCGGTCCGAAACTTGCCAGATACAACGCACGCTCTTGCGTGAACACCGGACACCTGGAAATTAAATTTAGATGCACATTCGATTACGTCGCACGAGAATTACGTGACTTTGACGTTGAATACCAAAACAATGTACCTAAAGACCATTAAATTCCCGAGGTACCATGCGCCAATACTGCTCGACCCGATTTGACCTAACAAAATACACGTAGTACCAGGTTTTCTCACCAGTAAACCGTCAAACGGTAATTGAGTATTGACTTCCCGCCAACCGTCCACCCAGAGCGTAACTTCGATCACGGCACTGCGTTTGTTTAAGACAGTATCTTTAAAGTTCAATGTCAAGTGATGCCATTGTCCCGATGAGAGTATACCGTTTATCGTTGTCTCAGAAATCGTGCGATTTGTCTTATCGTCCGGACGAGTGAGTCGTAAAATTAGTTTATCTGATAAACGAACAAAATCAACATCAGTGCGAAGTTTCATTTTCAAGAGTTTACAAATAAGACGTAAGACTAGACTATTACTTGATTTCAGATCGAGCCAAGATTCTAGAACCAAAGATTCGAAGCCAATGGACATCAAATGTAATATTGACGTTGGCGCGGGTGGCGACGTGGAACCTGCCGCAACTATAATCAGAAAAAAATCAGATTTGAATTTTTTCGTCACTATTTCAAATGAAATATTTGAATTTATAGAATGAATATAAGAATTTTCTCCGCCAACCTTCTCGACTCCAATTGTCAGAAAGAATATCCCAGTCAGACAGGCTCTCGCTGTTCGAATTGAACAACTGCGAGGCGTTATAGACCGTCGCGCGGCCACCAATTGGCAATCCTCTTTCCACTCTTAACCACATGGAAACGGAACAGCCGTTCAACCACACAGGCCAGGCGAGTTCCGATCCGACGGGCAAACACACGGCGTGCACGGACCACGGGCTGCAAATCTCAGCAGCGAGATGCTTCTTTCGGAAATTGTTTACGAGATTCTCGGCTTTCTCCAGATTCTTGTGCTCTTCCGTCTGGACTTTCAGCGACGATTTTATATTGCACTGCATGGGAAACGACAGAATGAAGTTCGGTTGAGGTCGCGCCGCCAGCACCAAGTGATACAGCGGTCCCAACAACGATAACAACGGTGGTTTCTTCACTTTGAAAAATGACAAATACGTGATCAGCTCCGTCGGTGAAATCGATTGCGACGCCAACAACGTAAACACGTCCAACGCTGCAAGTTTTAAATCTGAAAAATTCCAACATTGTATTCAACATTAAAAAAACCACGCATATATTTTCGTCGCATGAATGCGCTAAGACTGACCTTGATAATGAGGATCATTTTTGGTAAACACGTCTCTAAAGCCATTCAATATTTTCGTGATCATTCCCGATGCCGCGAGAGCGGCACAACTTGAGGCACTTTCTCGACAAGTAACAGCGACTCTTCGCAATCCGCCAGTTATTATCGATCCTCTCTCTAAATCTAAACCTCTGTAAAAAAAAAAAAAAAAAAACAACTTTGTAACTACATAAAAAAAAATAAATATACAAAAAAATAAATATAAAATCTAAGTTCAAGTATCAAATCAACTTATGTAGAGCCTATGCAGGATGTTGTGCAGATAAATAATAAATCTTCATATGTTTCGAAATGTTTCGACTTTTATTTCAAGTCCTTATCAATCGAATCTTATTTAAAATTATCATTAGAATGTGAAATAATGGTCAATCATAAAAATCGAGTACCTTAAACAAGTCTTGTCTGAACAAACTGTGAGTCGATACAGTATCGACTGTTCAGACAAGACTTGTTTGAAATAAAAGTCGAAACGTTTCGAAACATATAAAGATTTATTATTTATCCGCACAACATCCTGCATAGGCTCTACATAGCCATAAGTTGATTTGATACTTGAATTTTGAAAGAGAGCCATAGGTGACTCCTCATTTCTTCACTTTATTATAAAATCTATTTTATATATATAAAAAATATAAAACTATATTCTTGAAAGTTCTCTTACTGTTCACTGAAATGTATCAAAAGATCTATCGCCAAGGAACATAAAGCAGGATGAGCGTGAGCGTGACCTCTCGGCTCGATCACAGGTCCGAGTGGATTGCTTCTCTTACGAGCGCTACTACTGGAACTTTTTGCAGGCACTTCGGTGTCCGCTTCGTATCCGTCGTCAGCGGATACGTATTCACCGCCACTACTGTCCTCCGCGCCGTAATCTGACAGAACCTCCAACGTTGCGGTTGACAACTGCGAGGTAAAAAATAAAAAAAAACAAGCTTGACATCGATAGAGTCAACCGAAAAGTCTTTTAATCTCGTTAAAAAAAAAAAAAAATGAATAAATAAAAACACGATGTTACAAAATCATCATAATAATTACTCTGGGACGCGGTTGCGGCGGTACGCTGTTTTCTTGCGCCGGTTTTAGCATGGAGACTTTCAACATCGCGTCCACTATCACAGCTATTCCACGACCGAGCGTTATTCCGGCATTCATTAATACCCTTCTCAGTTCCATGACCACGTCACAGTCATCTGCATCACACAGAACACACTTGTGACACAAGCGAATAGCTTCAATGAAGATAAAAAAAAAAAAAAAACGCAAATATCAAACAACAACTCTCGACGCGGTGAATGAAAAAAATAATTCCGTTCAATAAAAGAACGACGTGTACGACGAGCAATCGAGATTTCAAAAAACGAAACGTGTTCGCCACAGTCGCCTATGTCGATCTACGAATCTCTCTGAACTGTTTTTTCGCCGAGCAAAACATGAGCGCGAAATACATTCTTCGAATCCGTAATCCCGCAGCTGCGCGATATTGCATGCATACGTAATCGGCGTCGTGCGTACGTTACGCGCTTTATTTTAATCGCATTCGTAATACACAAACAACACACTTACACGACGGAGACGTCAGGCAACATGTAATCAGAGCCTCGAAGAGTTTGTTTGCCGGTTTGCTGGTATCTAGAGAAAATTGCAATTAAGAAGTTCGTTACTGCGAGCTGATGATAAAGTTTCCTCGAAATGTTATCGCGTGTTATATTGCAACTACCTTCAATACTGTCCGTGGCGATGCCCACAGCTAACAACTTGAACAAATCCAACGACTTCCTGGATATTGGATGCGCGGACAGTTCGGCGCGAAATTTCGGGCTGCACAGCGCGACACCCGCGGCTGCCCTCCACGCGGCGCTGGCCTGATACAGGCTAAACTTCTTGAACGACGCGTTGACGCACACTCGCTCTATAAGAGTATGAAGATTCTCGAATGAGTTCGAACTTACTACGACGTCTATCGTATCAGTCTTGTTCTCTGATTGCTCGCGACGAATATCACTTTTTGACTGCTGCGTCGAGGCTGGCGCGCGCTCCTCATCGTCGACCGTTTTCCTGACGATTTTCGCGGACAAATCTTGGACTTTCCGATTGTCGTCGAATGTTTCGATTTGCTGATTCGCATCCTGTTCCCGCATCTCCGATTTATCGGAACACAGCAATTTGCTCAGCAATTTGTCCGTTTCTTTATCGAGAGATTCAAAGAGGGACTTCGTAGCCGACATCTGAACGTCGTTCGCATCGATTTCCAATTCCTCGCGACACATCTTCCGAATTTCTATGGCCACGGCGACTTCGAGAAGAGCGTAAACGCACTTGGTGAACGCCGCGTCCGACATCAACGGCAGTATCTCGCTCAGTCCGTTTATCTCCATAAACTTGTTGCACATCTGCGCGTTCACGATTAAACACGACGTGACGGATATGCAGGATTGCAGAAGGAACTTGGCGGTCACGTCGCCGTTGTCGGCCGCGTAACACGCCTTGGCGCGCAGGAGAGTCGGATAGAAGACCTTGAAGAGAAGCTGCTCTCTGACGTGAAAGCGGGAACTAGGTGTGACTTTGAGCAGATGCGCCATGACGGTGTAGCAGAGGGTCGGGTCGCTCGGGCTCAGCAAATCGACGTACATTTCCAGGAAATCCCACGAGTAATCCACCGGTCGGTCACAGATCAGACACGCGTTTGTAATCGAATAAGCGCCCAGTTCTTTGAAGACTGTACGCTCGAGAAACGTCACGACCGACGCGTAGGTGAGAGAGTCGCGTTTCCCGAGAAAGGCCACGATGTTCGAGAAGATTATCCTCGGCGGGAAACAGCAGCACGTGCCCGTTGCGGTGATGACGTTGATCAGTCTCACTTTCAGCTCGTTCGCGAACAGATGAGACTCCCTCAGCAAACTTATGAGCGTCATGAACAGCGAGGAGATGCAGCACGCTTGTTTGTCGGTCGATTCGGAGTACGGTGATCCCAGCGTGTTCGAGTGATGATAATTCTGAGCGCCGTTAACGCAGGACTTGTGCTTGGTCTTGCAGCACTGAGAGACGTGAGAAAGATCGTGGCGAACACGCTTCAGGTCGCTGGTAAGCGCGCCTATCATGTCGATTATTTTCTTGGCGCGCACTATCGACTTCGCAGGATCGACGCTGGGCAAGTCGACGATCGCGAACACAGTTCTCTCGACGAGCTTGCCGTCCTGACTCTCGACGAAGAGCTGAAACAGCTCGAGAAAATCCGACAGCTTGTCGATGTTGCTTCCTCGTTGATGCAACAGACAATAGAGAAACGCGACGATCCCGTAGATAGTGGCAAATATGAACTCCTGCAAAAGCGAACCTTCCTCCGGCTCCAACACGTTCACCGGTTTGCTACAGGCGTCTTCCAACAGTCTCAGAGTCATCGGTAACAAACCGTTGTGAATCACTGCCGTGGTGGGCTCGTCGGCCCTCAAAGCTCGCTCCAGAGCCATCAGCATCAGCTTGGCGGTTGACGCTTTCAGAATGGCGCATTCTTTGACGCTGAAATTGCTGCCGTCCAGCTGCAGCGACCACAGAGTGTCCACAGCAAACTTCAGCACTTGCACAGCGGGCGTTTGTTCGGCAGGTGTGTCATAATCGCGCAAACCCTGGAGCAGCTGAATGATCAACAAACTGATCTCAAAGTTGCTGATTCTGGCGCCCAGCACGTTTTGGATTCTCTCGTCGATGTAGTCGCGCGGCGTTTTTCTCACAGGACGTGCCGGAAGTTGGTAAAGTTCGGCCTGCCACCTCTGCTCTTCGTCGCTCCTGACAATCGACGTGAAATACTCGAAGTCCATCGGATTCAGGCGGATCTTCAGTGTGAGGGAACGCGCCGGGTCGACGCCATCCGTCGGTGTCTCGGACTCGCTGGTTGTCATGTCATCGGGCATGTTGCGCCGCGCTTCTAAGATTCTCTTCTGCTTGTGATTGGAGTTTTGGTGAACTTTTGCGGCTCCCGTGTTGACGTGTTTGCGAGCATATCTTCTGCGCAGCGGCGCATTGCTCTCGTGCGAGAAACTCCTGCGACCGGAACCCTTGGCGCTCTTGCGTCTCGCGCGCGGCACAATGTCAATCGTGTCGACGGTATCGTCGTTACTGCGAAACCTCACGTACGGATTGCGTGTAGGCGACCCGCCGTTGGCGGGCAACTCGCCGCGAGATTTTTGCAATCCGGACAAACCGGCCTTCTCTTGGAGCGCGACCGGATAGAGAGCGACCAACAGCGCGACCAGCTCGCGACCGCAAGACAGACCGCGTACGCCCAGCAGATCCAGAACCGCCAGATAACGCCAACCGCGATCCTGGACCAAATATCTGCGCAGGCCGACCAGCTCGACGTTGTCGTTTCTTTTCCCACACAGCTCATGCACGTCCGAGAGCAGCTCGCAGGCCACGAGAGTCGACACGCCGCCGCCGCCAATTGAGCTGAAAGAAAAGTTCACACGCGATGTAACATGTTTTTCCGCACAGTAGTCGAGTTATCAGGTGCGAGTCGCGACGTATTACGGCGCGCACGTATCTATTCTGGTACATTGTTGCTTGGTATTTGTTACACTGAACAGGAAAAATATATCTTGAGGTGTTTCAAAAGATAATTACAATGGATTACAAGAGAACGGAGAAAGGTGACAAAAAAAAAAAATTAAATCAATGAAGGTAATAACAAAAAATGTTTTCTTGGCAAAGATACGCGGAAAGACGTACAACAAACCAAAGAACTGAATTAAGCTGACGTAAAAGTAATTCACCGCAACCGCAGCGGCGCGATCGAATGTTCACGCGTGAGATGGCAACAAGACGTGGAGCAAGTCTGTGTAAACCTGAGCACCGTGTAATCGGATATATGAGTTTCTCCGTAAAATATTGTGTAAACTCGGACTTGAGAAAAATCAATGCGCAAAAATGAATCGCGGATTAACAAACAACGCAACGAGAGTTTTCTTACCAAAAAGACAAAACATCTTTTACGTCTTTGCCTTCGTTAATCTGCGCGAGTAATTCCGCAAGAAATATATCGAGCCAGGATGATTTCTGAAACAGAAGCGAGAGATCGGGATTAAAAAAAAAAACAAACAAAAGTGAGAACAACATCTCGACACTTTTGCTTGCGTCGAGACGCGCGCGATGTGTTGCTCGTTAAAAATTTTACAATTAGCAGCCTAATTACATTCGTAATCTGCGAACGTCGGACAACTCGAGATTTACGATAGGAAGAAACGCGTTTTGTTTTGAGAAACAAAACAAAAAATCGCGGTCCAGAAAGAGGAAGCCAACGCGCGAGATAAAAAAAGTAACGAGCGAGAAAGAGACGCTTTATTTGTCGGAGTTGACAAGGATAGATTTTTCTCGCATCGTCGAGCACGTACATATGTATGTACATACGATACCGTAATCAACGTCGAGCGAACATAAAAAACAACGATTAGGCGATCGAAAAGTGACGAAACGCAATCGGCAAATTGGCTTACGCGGTTGTTGTCGCCTCATGATGCAATTTGTCGCAAAATTTTACATGAATATGGAACACTTGTTGAATCTTTAATTAATTACTCGGCAACGAAGATAGAACTTGTCCGGTGGTAGCTTTCACAGCGTGGGTTAAATTGTTGTCATCGCGTCATGTGGTCGTGCGATCGAGCACGTAGACAAGTGATTCACGACCGGAATAATGAGTAACATAACACAAATTTACATAATTACTAAACTTAGAATATTATAATTACACGCACACTTTATACGCGCCACATCTCTTGCTCGCGTATGCGGCGCAAATATTCGAAAGCAAGATAAATCTCGAAGTCGCAATCCACCGTTGAACGTGGTTTATAAAATTGAAACTTGAAAAAAAATTTTTTATTGTTATTTAGATTGGCTGAAGATGGAAACAAACAATCGAAACGTCCCGAAAATGTTTTTTTCAATTCTTAATTTTATATTGTATCTTTATATTTTATAAGTATAAAATAAAATAAAATATAATTTTATTTTATAATATAATTTTATATTTTATTTTATATTATAATCACGTTCAATCACGATGGACGTCGCGGTTTATTTTAATTTTGGAGTTTTTCCCAGAAGCTTTTCTAATTAACTAATTAGCGCAAATATTGTTGACAAGCCTAAAATATGTTATTGGACAAAATGTGAAAAACGTTGCAAAATTTGTTTTGTTTTTCTAATCAATCAATTTGTTGTTGAAAATAATAATAACCAGCGCAGGAAGTTACCACGCACAGGCGAAGTATTGACAAACAAAGTAACAGATAACTTGTAAGGCATCCGTCCCTTCTTGTAAGCCGCCATGATGCAGCGTCGCGGAAACAATCCAATTACGGTTTCAAAGTAGCTCTGGTGTTGAACATGACACGTATAATAACTTATTCTATTTCTTCTCGACATTGCACCGACGTACTACGCGCAAAAAAAAGCGTCCCTTTAAAAACAATAACAACAACAATCATTTTTATTGAAAAACAAACAGAGCGCACAACAAGGGAGAGAAAATTTTCAGAAAAACTGAAACCAATGAAGAAGAATAAAAGAAGCGTAACGGAGAAAGCTGAGCAAAAAAGCTTGGTCGTACCTCGTAACTCTGGGGTTCGGCGTGAATAAAATAATCCCACAGCACTTGCAGCTTGTTGACTGACGCTGTAGACATTCCTGAGTTCCTTTCCTCCTTCTCGTCCTCTTCTTCCGGATCCTCGGTCTTCAGCTGCGCATCTTCCTCACCGAAGCTCGCCACCTCGTCCAGACTCAGCCATGCGTATACCGTGCTGTCCTCGTGCTGTTCCGCATCCTTCGAGCAGGTAACTTGATCACCTGCAAGATCAAGATTCCTCACGTCGTCGCGCTGACCAACCCGGTGTTTCTTGATATGCATGGCCTGTTATTATGCACCTCCGTCGTACGTAGCTTGAAAATCCGGACGGATTTTACCAAAGAGAGTTCTTTAGAAATTAAATCACACGTTTTTTCGTTACGTCATTGTAACAGACAAATTGGCGCCACATGATGTACAAATAAAAGAAAACACACGCTTCGCAAAATCGAGACGGAGCGCCGCTCGCCTCGATGTTGTCACATCCACGTGAAAAGCACAACTGCTTCGCTCGATTTTATCCGATCATGATTCTTCCGACTGCGATATTCGGGAAATACCCGGTCTCATCGAAGAAGAAGAGAATGTGTATGTGTTTTGGCTTACATAACATCCCCACGTACATCCGCGATCGACCACCGGTTCGTAGCCTTTCGCGGAAAGCTCGCAGGCTTCACGGATCAACGGAGAAGAGCAGCAATCCTGGTTTCGCAGGCTTCTCGGCATCACTGCCGCCGTCGCGTCGTCAGCGCTACTCGACACAACCACTACTCGCCAATTCTCTCTACCGTCACCACAGCAGCATGGTGACACGACCTGATCTACCACCACCGACAGTTGTTGTTCCTTATCTGCCGACTTGTTCTCGTGCCGCTGTCTAGCGTTTTATACACGCTTGTTATTGTTTCCCAGAGACATGGGAACAATCCGATAGCGAACAATGGCAAAATCTTTTTGCCGGTAGTGTGAACTTTTGTCAAAAAAAAAAACAGCTGAGACACACACGACGAGCAAACAGTTGTCGCTCCAATCGAAACAAACAAGGTTTTGTCAGAGTTCGCCAGAGTTTGCGAAACAAGAGATTGAGATCCGCGGCCGCTCTCAAGTCTGAAAAATGAAACAATAAAAACAGATCTTAAACACCTCCGTGAAATGCGGCCGCCACGATGATACTGAAGAGCGGTAATCGCGACCTTCTGCTTTATTCTGGCGCCATGGTATAGTTCAACGATACGATAGGAGCACGCGACCTTTTCGAATTGATATCGTGATCCGGAAGATCACTAATCTCATTTATAATGTAACTTAACAACACCGTTACATCAAACAATATTAAAACGAGCGTACGTCGGACATTATGTGAAAATATATTATAGATAAGAAAGAGACCGGAGAGAGATAAGTGCACACACACATAAAACACGAGTCGAATGAACAAACAACGAAAGATCGTGTTGCAAATTCAAGAAGAGTTTGATTCTTCTGCGATTTTACATGAGTTCTTTTTTTTTATCACTTAACTTTGTACTTTAATTAATGGCAGTTTAAGAAAAACCTATTTTCATAATTTCTTCTCCTAGATATTATCTTATCTACGTATGTGTGTCTCCGGGAAATAAATCCGAGCTCTACAACAATCCGAAATCTCCACATCAAATTTCAGATTCAGATTTCAGACCTAGATTTGTTCAAAGATCAAATCGATAGAAAATCTTGTCCTATGAATCGAGTCACTCTTATTCGGGGAGATATTTTCGCATGTAGAATAAATACTGTTGTTTAAAACGAGCACAGAGAAAAAAGATTTACTTAAAATTCCTGTTCTAATATAGAATCCTAACACCTCGCGTCGCGCACGTACAAGAGTCTCTTCTTCTTCTTCTTCTTCTTCGTCAGCTTCGAGTGTCGCCCAGCTCGAGTCTTCGTTACAGAGTGCGCGTCGCGCATCAACTGCCCACACTGAAGAAGGGGAAGTTTACGGTCGAGCCTCCAGCGCTTCCAATCGGTTTCCTTCCGCGGCGAAGAGTCGTCGACTATGCAACGTTGACCTCTCGCCAATCTATCGAGAAACAAAAAAAAGGATCAGAAAATTGTTATTATCCGTACGTGATGTCGCGTGATGACACGTTAAACAGACGACAACAAACGATACACCAAAAAAATTATATTCTTATAAGTAGATTTTATACTTAAAAAATCTTCTTAAAGATTTTAGATGATATTCTTCTGAAATAAAGAATATATTCTTTATTTAAGAATATATTCTTAATATTTATTTAAGAATATATTCTTAAATAATTTATTTTTTAAATAATTTATTTAAATAATTTTTTTTTTAAATAATTTATTTTTAAGAATATATTCTTAATTTAAGAATATAGTCTTTTTCAATAGTGAGATATATATGTTTTTCTATAGAGGCTTTTTGTATTCTAATCAGTATATATTCTTATCAATATTCTTATCAATATTTAGAGAATTTTTCTCTTAAAATAAGAAACTCTTCTTGGCGCCTATTTTAGTATAAAATATACTTAAAGTAAGTGGGATATCCTCAAAACAAGAATACAATTTTTTCGGTGTAACTGATCCGGGAGAGACGTAATGATGAGAGACATTGTCGCTCGCGTCATACGCCGGGAATTATAGTCTCATTGTATTAAGAGATTGAATTAAAATTCGTGGTAACGCGCTTATCTATTCGTTATCAATTATTCCTTGAAAGTGCTTGTTTGATGGTGCAATGGTGGTGTTGATATTTCAATTGTAAAATGATCTTTTTTTTTCTCCAAACACATTGGGTAATTTAAGATCGCATGATCACATGTGTTTCTATTAACTTAAAAAAATACGAGATATTAAATTAAATTTATATATTAATTTAATTAATTTCTACTAATTAGCGTCTCTTTTTTTTTCGGTCACATATCTCCCCACAGCTACGAAGAATATTAATAAATTTGTTATGAACAGCGGCGCTCTTCCCTCCTCTCTCTCTCTCTCTCTCTCTCGTATTATCGCCGTTTTTCTGTAGTTTTCAGATAAGACGCGGGACGAGCGTCACAAGATACAATGCATACAGAATATATACATATACGTGCGTGGACGAGTGCATCTCCCTCCCCACTTTTCTGCGCTCTCAACACAATTTCAACACGCGGGAAAAACAATAACATATACACATGTATAATGCGATAACCGGGAACATGTGCACAACACAATTGAGAGCAAGTCAGTGGGCAACAGCCGCGCGGCCGTTAATTGTCGATCAATCTCTAAGTCCCGCAGCCGGTTATTATGGTGGCAGATTTATCTTAATGTACTCTTCTCCACGCACCCTCTCCCGTCGTGTGCGATTTAATTAGCCCCTCCGTCCCTCGACGAGGAGTGTGTGTGTGTGATAAAGCGCGGTTAGCGCTAAAGACGCGGGCAATTTTTCAGTGTCCAAGTGAAAATAAAAATAATAGGTCGGCGATAAGAAATTTTCCTAGGGGAGAAGGATGATTCTTCGCAGTCGCGATGATTCATCAAAATCTAGAAATGTGGTGAGAAAAATACACAGTAAAAAATTGTGCGTCAAAATGTAGAACTTTTCTTGTGTTACGACGTTTTGATTATTACTTCAATGTAAAATTAACATAATACTGATATGTTATTATTTTTTTAATCTTTTCACGTGTCAAATTTATGTTAACTTCACAAATT